GCTCCTCACTCCTGCCTGCTCCCATCTTGCGCTTTCCCTCCAGGAGCACACTCACAGGCTGCTGAGACAGTTTGGGGCCAAGATACTGAGCTGGAGCCACCCCCTTTGCAAAACCCTCATTGACACCCACCAGCCAGAGTCCCGCTGCAGCCAGAGCCCCTCCGCTCAGCAGCTGAAGGGAGAAATATTGGGGTAAAACCCCATGTGGGTGTTGCAGCATTGGTGCTGGGCAGCTGTAAATCACTGCTCTGTCCTCAGGGGCAGGAAGGAGACCTGGGGGGGGTAACACGGTCCTGGGGACTGTGGCGATGGGGTGGAACTAGCCCTGGTCTGTGCCAGGGGTCCCAGCCCCTGCCCTGGGCTGAGTGGCTGCTCATCCTGCCCAGAAACCAAACCTGAAACGGAGAAAGGGAAGGGGAAATGGTGCTTCTCCTCTGAGCGCGGAGGTGGTTTGAAAACCCCCCCCAGCCTCTCTACCAAAGTGACTCTTCGAAGGAGTCCTTTCAGCTCAGATAACTGAGCTGCCCTCGAAATCCCCAGCCAGCAAAGGCCTTTGTAGGTGCCTTCCCCATGTGTGTTCCAGCCGGAGCCTCCGCCTTTGAGCCGCTTCTCCCAGTCCTCCTCCCGCACCAAGGAACGGTGGAAGGGCTCACTGCGCTTTGCCGGGCAGTGGCAGGGACACGTCCCGCATCTCTCTGGTCCACGCGCAAAAACCCTTGCAGGGTAACTTGGTGCCTGACTCTCCTGTCTGATGGGTTCCCAGTTGGGCTGACACCTTCTTGTTTGTGCTTTGAAGAGCTCAGTCCTCTGCTCTGCAGTATTTTACCATAGTGGTTTGGCCATCCTCAGCATATTTCTCCTTCCCAGCATCGAGTTTTCCCCTTTCGAAAAGCTGAACTTACATTTCTGTCAGCCCTGAAGCTCTCGAACAGAAAGTGAAGGCTGTTCAGCCTCTCGAGGTCTTTGCCTAAGCCACCTCCCTGCTTCCCACCCCCTTTTCGGCTCCCCAGGGTGCTGCTGGCAAGGGTAAAGTTACCGCTCGGGCTGAGCCACTTTGGAAAGAACTGGCAGGTGTGGGTCTCCCTGGCCCAGAG